TTGTTATTGCAGGTTTTATGAAGAATATGACATAAGAGACTATGATTTTTTTATGCAAGAGAATGGTATGTAAAAGTGAAAAGATTATTGATTTTTCGTTAGGTTTGTCATAAATACACCTTGTCATTTTATTCTTTAAGTATTACAGATACATTACGGAATTCATAGAAGGCCTGATATTACTTACGAACTCTTGTAATGAGGTTTTAATTGCTACGTAAGTAGAGTTCAAGAAAGTGTGAAATATTTCAAAAGTTTTCAGTTTGTTGTTTCAACTGCCAAAGATATTATGTTTATATCGAATCCTAATTCAATTTTAAAATTTCTGAAAATATTTTTATTAAGAAAGATGAATATTATAAAATAGGAATTAATTATTCGGCACATAATTTTATAGCTGTGCTGTCTACAGTTTACTCGAAAATTTGGAAATATATTCTTAAAAAATAGAAAACTTGTTCTTACAAATTCAAATGAATGCTACTTGGACTTTATTGAATATTTACTATAACTGTGATCCACTTCTTCAATGACTATCGACTGACAGATTAAAACAACTCATACTTTATATAAAATAGAGCACCTCATTCGCTTTATAGTCACGTCTTCTGTAACACAAGCTTTAGACCAGTACTGAGAAGGTTAAACAATAATCACAAACGACATAGGAAAACAAGAAGGTTTTAAGCCTAATAAGTTTGGTGAAAGGTCGTGTCACCTGCAAATATGTTCAAATTGCTTCTCTCAGCTAGTCCATGACGAACTTGAATCTAAAATTCCGTTGTCGTTACATAAGTAGCATATCCAAGGGAGCTTTCACTTTCCATCAACTTAGACATTTTACACAGGAAAATAACTTTTTTTTATAAAGCATTATAATATATCTACCTCGAAATAATGAAACACTCAGAGTTAAAGTAATATTGTTAAAGCGTTCAACTGAAATAGTCACGAGTTCAATTCGCTAAGATTGCGCCAGATGCTTATAAAATGGTGTACTCTGAATACATTTAACCCATAATGCTGTGCAAGTAAACCATTTTAATACCTAGACATTGTATTGGAAATAGATGTATGTTATAATTTCAAATTTAAAGGTTACTTTGAAATAAAGGCTTAACGAATAGTTACACTTCCGTTTCTTCACGTAGTTATACATGGTTCAAAAACACGATGGATAACATATTTGAACTGTTAAAACTCTACACAAATTGAATTATACTTATACCTACACTTCTTATGAATCTATAATAAATTTACTGTATTATTATTATAGTAATAAACAGGTTTATTATCTTAAAAAGTATCGACCATTCTAATCAGTCAAGAAAAATATTGGTTACAGATATCCATTACTTGAGGTGTTTAAAATTTACAATCGAAGTTTATCTGTTTACTTACTTAAAGTAACAAAGTATCCGATCGATAGAATTGATTCTGCTAAACGCGAAATTACAATAAAAAAAGCTGAGAGAAAGCTAAGAAAGACTAACTTAAACATTCCTCGGGTAGTTTCGCACGAATATCCGAAACAAGCATGTTCATGTAGTGTAAAATCTGTAAAATCTAATGGATCAGCGCGCGAGTTTTCGTTGATAGTTAATGTAACTATCGATGTTATTTATTTAACTATAGTTACAAAGACGAAAGTTGCTTCAATGATTTATTAACGTTTAAAAGCCAGACTTCAGGAAATGAATAGCAAAAGAAGAAATGATATCAATTCTACGTGATAATAAGATAATATGATCTTTGATCTCTTAAATCCAAACATGTATTCATGTTTGCCCCTGAAGAAGAAAGGTCCGCCTTTTGAAAGCGCTCGTGTTATAGGGTTTTTATTTATATCTTGACAAGCTAGATATAAATAAAAACCCTATAACCCGAGCTTGTCAAGATACAAATAAGCAACACCACAATGGATAATTAATAGTACAGTAGTGTAAGTTATTAATAATTAGCTGAACAACAACAAGTGCTAGCAGTTGTTCTATTAAAGGTATAAAATATGTAAAAAAAAACGTATGTTTGTTTTCCGATTCTAGAGTTAAACATAGTTAAGAAGTTAAATATTACATTGCATCAGTGGTAAAAAAGCTGTAAAAAAAGTCAGTCTTTTTTTTCCAAAACCCAGCCAGAAGGCAAAACGATGACGGCGTTATAATGCAGCAGTAAAATAAGAGTAGGTAGAACATTGGCGATCAGTATTTCATTGCTGTAAAACCGCCATATTTCTTGCTTGCTCATAAAACACAGCACATACTATTCTGTTAATCATCACTGCAGTAAGTTCCTATTACTGGATCTTTTTTCTTTCTTTTTTGGAGGTACTATTTACTTTTGGCATTAAGAGTTTTAACGTACTATTTACTTTTGACATTAATAGTTTTAACGTACTATTTACCTTTGGCATTAATAGTTTTAACGTACTATGTATATTTTACATTAATAGTTTTAACACACTTTACCTTTGACATTAATAGTTTTAACACACTATTTACCTTTGACATTAATAGTTTTAACACACTATTTACCTTTGACATTAATAGTTTTAACACACTATTTCTAACTTTCAACACTATCAGCTTCTAGACAATTAGTAACAAGTGACTATGTTAAAGCATTTCTAAATTATAGTGGTTCAAAGGTGTAAGTCTTAAGGTACCACGCAACTTTGATCTGCATCAGGCACCTTAATACTTTGGATAAATATATCAGAGAGATCCATATATCGTTATTAGTTATATACCAAAATACTATAAGCGTTAAAGATACAACAACAAAAAACATCGTACGCAATTATTTCCAACTTGTGAACTGTTTATTAACAGGGGACATTTGTGTTATGGATTGGCTTTCTTTGATCAACATTTCAAGGTCGGAATTGCCATCACAAAGGATGGTGAATCCTGAGTGAGTTATCCGATGTCCAGTTCCATGTCTGTGGTTCCGGATTGCTGAATTGGGTGGACTTAAAAGGATGTTACCTGACCTAAGTGATACTCCCTCGTGCTCGTGAATGCAAACAGTAAAATGTCCATTAGTTTTACCGTTAAAAGTGGTCTTGCGATCATCCCGTGTATTTATAAACAATCCAAGAGATGCTGTAATCTAAATGATGGTTTGAAAATGACCTGTGAATAGAACTTCCTTATTAAAGACTTAAGTGGTTTAGAAAGTATGATACTTTATTTTCCTAATTAAGGGATGCCCAATGAAACTGGTTATTTATCAAATGTGAACAATTTTACGGAAATTTCAAACATTTTGTTTAGATATATTCTGGTTAGACTTCCAGTTATTTTCTTAGGGTATTTCTTATACAATAATATTTCATGAAAAAAAAAACAATCTCAGTCAGTAAAATGAAATAAGTTGAACAGATTTTAAAGGCTCGAGTTAGTAGATGTGTTGCTAGATTGATCATTTTATATCCTACAGGAATGAAATTATCAAATTCTGTTAACCCTGGATTGTCATACAGGCGGTACAAATCCTGGTCCATTTTCACCAGGTGGTCAGTAATAAAACTGTGTGTCATCTTCAATAGCAGGGGTGTATTTTAACTGTTTAACTATTTAAGTCTCTTGCGATTGATGGAAATAAATGGTCTGTGTATCATCTTCAGTAGCAGGGGTGTATTTTAACTGTTTAATTATTTAAGTGTCTTGCGATTGATGGAAATAAATGGTCTGTGTAT